ACGCGGGAAAACCTTTGCCATTTTCACCGCACCCAGGCGTCGATGCGGCACGTCCCTTGCTCACTTTTCGAAAACACTCGGAGGGCAGGTTGCAACGCGTCACTTAGAGGGAACGACCTAGCATTTAAACGATGTTCAAGGGTAGTAGGATTCATTTCATAAGGGATCGAGCTCGGCTTTTTTACGTGTTGGCTGCTCGCTACCTAAACACAACCCTCCTCCTTAACCCGGGCTGTGGACCGGCGGAGTTGTTATTAATTTAGGCAATCAAACACAAAATATAAAATTAAAGGATTAAATTGTTGCAATTGGAAACTAACATGACTAATTAACATAAGAGGTAAACTACAGCCTGCCTGAACAACGGCCTGCCTGCCTGCCTCCGGCGTAAGTACATAGGGTTGATAAGACAAAACCCAATTTCCACAAAGTCAACTCATTTTAAATGCTAAAAGAGGCATCATCAATCATAAAAACACATTTCATTACCAATTCAATTTGTGGTTAATTGCCGACGATGACAAAGCAGCACTCAAAACTCCAAACCCGTTGATAAAGAAAGATGAAAGAAGAGATAGATGGCATAACAAATATGCAGGTATTTTACTTAAAAAAAGAGAGTAAATAGGTTAGAATAGTTAAAGAAAGCATGGAGAAGACAATGGTGAGGCAGGGAGGCTGAATGAAATTTTTACATCGACATTGGTTTAGCGTGTCAGAGTCGCTGAGGGATTTGAGCTTAGCAGAAATTTCCTTCACCCAAAACATATCCCGTTGCCTTGTATTGTGCCTTGCCCCAATCCACCACCACCACCACACACACATGAGATTAATTTCTTATTCATCTAGAGAAAGCAAAAAACCATAATACCAAAAGTAGTGAAAGTCAAAAATATTGCCCAAAGTGTTACTTGACGGGATTCAATCAGTCATTGTCTGTGTGGTGTGTGTGTGTTTGTTGCTGTGTGTGTGGTGAGGAGAGAGAGAAGAGAGAGGAGATGAGAGAGGAGAGAGAAGAGGTTTGGGTAGGATCATGATAGAAAGAAAGTGTTGTTTTTCAAAAACCATCATCATGATGGATCTAGGATTGATCTCTAGGCCGGATTCAGACTTGGACGACACCCTTCCTTTGTCTGCAAGACTTGTGAAGATGTGCACCCCTCGTATAGCAGTTATAGATGACGATGATGATGAGGCTGAGTCCTCCGATCATTTTTGTGACCTTATTCCACGCATGCGTCGTCACCGTCTTACCGTAGCTGAGGAGGAGCGCTATCTTGGTGACGAGGTTATTGGGGCTCACTGTTCTGATGTTGAGATTGCTGGAGGGACTAATGCCCCGGAAATTGATGCGGCAGGCCATGCTTCTAGAAGCAATGTAGAGATGCGGTGCGCCTCTGGGCACGGTATGGAGGTGGATGTGTTAGAAATCTCTAAGACTCGCTCCGGCACTTATGGTGATTCTCATCCTCCGGCCCTCCTTCCTTCTTCAGGGATGACTGCTACTGTTCAGGCTTCATCAGACATTGAGATCGATCAGGTGGTCTCTACACGACCAAGTGACTTTGTTGATGCTAGGAGTCCTTCAGTTGCCCCTGCTTTGCATATTGATTCTCCCTCTGGTAATCTTTCTTTCTGAAGTTTGTCATTTACTTATATCTGTGAGAAATCTTTACTTAAATGACTTTCCTGTTCCCTACCTCTAATAAGGCCTTCTTATCTTTTCTTCAGTGTTAGCTGCTAACGGGGTCTTGCCTTCACCTACCTCAGACTCTGCTCCAGTGTTAGCTGCTACCGGGGTCCTGCCTTCACCTGCCTCGGACTCTGCTCCAGTGTTAGCTGCTACGACTGCCAGAGGTTCTTCATCGCTAGTGCCTTCGAATATTTTGGATCTGAATCTTAGTGATTTCCACATTGATAGTGATGCTTTTGGTCTTTCCCCTTATCGTTCGGCATTCTCAGGCTCGGGACCTCTGCTTTTGGCATTCAACTCCGGAAGTCATCAACAATTCTTTTTCTCGGGTGTTCTTCAAGCTCAACAAATTACAGTACCGATATGTGTATCAACAACATACAGATTTTCAGTTTTCATCATCGATAAGAGATGCAATATCATAGGTCGTTTTGTGATGAAGTTCAATTGGGTCAATTTCTCAAAGTCACTATGTTCCATGTTAGAGGTCCAATTTATACGAGGCTCAAAATTTGGACAGAGTTATCATTTCTCCATTATTGAGTTTGCTTCAGTTCTACAGCTTGTGCATTCGAGTTACCCGGAGACCTTTGCTTCATTTGCTTGCCAGTGTCCACTCATTCAGACTGCTCTTCTCGAGTCTTTTGCCACTATCTTATATAGCTTGGATAGGCAACGGTTGTGTGACCTTAATGGGAAAGTAGTCGAGACGGCGTATCAGGGGATCTCTGACATGGAGCGTCACCAAGTAGACTTATCATGGCTTCGGAAGCGCCTGGATATAGCTTCGAATGCCAGTCATCAGATGGAGCTTATGTCTGTGCTTGCCTCTTATTGGACCTCTATAGTTGAGACAAAGGCAACCCTTCGTGAACTTGAGTCGGGTTATGCTCGGGCCTTGGAGACTTTAGAGGCACACTTTACTATTTGTCCTCCGGATGTAGATGTGACGGGCAGCTTCTTCTAGGGTGTCTTTAGGAAAGATTGATTTTTTCTTTTTATTACTTTCTTGTCCCTTTCGATAAAAATGTTTTATCTAGGACAATGCAATGAAATGACAGAATTTTTGCTGTTTGGATATTTTCGCATTGTTTTCTCATTCTACTTGATAAAATATTTATTTCGAATGATACAATGGAAAGAACAATCATATGCACATGTTTATAAAAGCTGAAATATTCTCATTAGTTCTTCAACTTTCTTGACAAAAGTATAATAGATTCACTGCAAGTGATGTGATAAAACATACACCATAGAGAAAATCAGCTTCTTCATAACGTAAGGGAAATACAACTTTTAGACAAAGTAAGAAAATGAATTTCAACATAGATGAGTCCAACTATGGGTAATAATGCTTGATAAACTTTGCATTGAGCGGGCCAGTTCGGAAGCCATCTTCAACCCTTACAAGCTTGTAGTACCCGTTTGAGCTCGCCTGAACCACCTTGTAGGGCCCTTCTCATTTTGGAGAAAACTTGGGCAAAGGTTGTCCTCGCATGATTGGGTCTACAATCTTCCATACTAGATCACCTTCTTTGAACTTCCTTGGTACCACAGTTTGGTTATAGGCTCGGGCGATGGACTCGTGATACATTTCCATGACTTTTGCAGCTCTGTTATGCTTTTCCTCTAATGCTTCCAATCTGGTGGTTCGAGGCTCCAATACCATCCTCGAGGCGAGAGCCATTCGAGAAGATGGTGTTTCCAACTCTATAGGTAACACTGCCTCGAACCCATACATAAGGGAGTAAGGAGTTGCTTGAGTTGGCTTTCTCTTTGAAGTGCGATACGCCCATAGGGCTACTATCAACTGTTCGGGCCAAGTCCCCCCAAACTCATCCATCATCTTGCTCAGGATCCTTATCAGTGTCTTGTTTGTGGCTTCCGTTTGCCCGTTCCCTTTTGGATAGTAGGGTGTGGATTTGTGATGCTTCACTTGGTAAGTCTCTAGGAGGCTCTTCACATATTTGTTTATGAAGGGAGTGCCGTTATCCGAGAGGATGGTGTTTGGTACTTCAAACCGGCAAATGATATTCTCCTTGATGAAGTTCGCGACTGCAGCCCCGTAGCGTTCTTCAAAGGAATTGCTTCGACCCACTTTGTACTCAATTCTGTGGCTGCGAGAATCCACTTGTACCCCTTAGAAGATGTGGAGATGGGCCCTATCAGATCAAAAGCCCAGGTATGGAACGGCCATGGCGTTCGGATACCATGCAGGTCTACGGCTGGAGCATGGATCAAATTTCCGTGTTTCTGACAAGTCTGGCACCTCTTCACGTGATGGGATGCATCTGAGTCCATGGTCGGCCAATAATACCCAAGGTGTATAAGCTGCTCGAACAGCCGAGCCCCTCCTTGATGTTCAATCTCGTGAGCTCTTCTGAGGACTAGATCTGACTCCTCCTTGGAGAGACACCTCAGGGTAGTGCCCTCAATACTTCTTCTGTAAAGCTTGTCCTGATCAAGAAAGTACCGCCTTGCTCTCCTCTTGAGGTGTGCAATGTCCCTCGGGCTCTCAGGTAGTGTTCCCTCTTTGAGATAGTCAATGTAGACTTGCCTCCAGTCAGGGGTATCAATTTCAAAGCAACTCTCATCCTCCCGGATGTATGATTGACACTTGGCGCATTCCTTTTGTAATTGATTCGATTCCTTCTCCATCTCGGGCCAATAATAACCTTGTCTTTGGATTCTTCTGTATAGACTGATATCCCCATCCCTGCAAGACTTTTCATGGATTTGTGGTAGTCGGAAGCTCGCTTCTTGTTGGCCAACACACCGGGCTAGGAATCCGGTACCCCCTCGGAAGTAAAGTTCACCTTGAATAATTGTGAATTGGGTAAGCTTGGCCATAGTCAGTTTTCCAACTTTGCTTCTGAGTTGTTCGAGGACTTCTCCTCTCCAGTCCTCCGGAGGTCTTTGTCTTCGGGTATTATTGAAGGTTCTGTTCTCTTCTTGATAACAATTGTTGCCTCTTCCTCTGGAATGTCAACTCTTGCCCCTAATGTTGTGAGGGCATCTGAAAACTTGTTGTCGGAGGGAGGCACATGCTCTATTTCGACCTTCTGAAATTTGTCAAGAAGCCTTTGGACTATTGTTCGATATGTGGCCAAGGCAGGCTCTTTTAAGACGAACTGTCCTGAAACTTGCTTCACTATCAGCTTTGAGTCCCCCCGGATCCGAATCTTCTTGATACTGTGCTTCTCAACTGCTATCAAGCCTAAAATAAGAGCCTCATACTCGACTTCGTTATTCGAACAATGAAAATCCAGTTTATAAGACAAATATAACTTTTCCCCACTTTTGCTTGTAAGGACTATCCCGGTTCCTCCTTTTTCTCCGGCTGCTGCTCCGTCAAAGCTCAATGTCCAAAAGCTTTCCTCGGAAGCCATAGCTGCATGCACCTCTCCTCTTAATTCTTCATTCACTGGTTCGTAGTCACCACTTGGAAATTGAGCAAGGAGATCAGCTAAGGCTTGGCTTTTGATTGCCTTCGGAGCTACACATGTGATTTCGAATTCACCCAGTGCTAACAACCATCTTGCCACCTTCCCGGTTAGAGCAGGCTTGCTGAGGAGGTATCAGATTGGATCACTTCTAGTAACAATCTGAATCTGATGTGCTAAGAAGTAATGTCTGAGCTTTTGGGCAGTGAATACCAAAGCTAAACAATGTCTCTTTACCGGAGTATATCGGACTTCTGCTCCTCGAATCTTCCGATTGATATAATACATCGGCCGTTCTACTCTATCTACATCTTGGACCAATAATGCCCCTATGGACTTGGGGGTTGAAGTTAAGTACAACATTAGAGGCACCCCGGGCTGCGAGGCTATCATGGTCTGAGGCGAGGTCAAGGCCGCCTTGATTCTCTCGAAGGCCTTTTAGTGCTCCTGGTTCCACTCGAACTTGGCATCTCCTTTTAACAATGAACCGAAAGGGGCAGAGATCTCTGCAAGTGCTGGGATAAACCTCCGGATATAAGACACCTTCCCGAGGAACTTCTTTAACTCCTTCTGAGAATGCGGGGGAGGCATTGCTCTGATAGATTTGACCTTGTCTTCATCTGCCTCGATACCATGCCTATGTACAAGAAACCCGAGGAACTTCCCGGCCGTCACCCCGAAAACACATTTGAGAGGATTCATCCTCATTTTGAATTTCTGGCACCTCTTGAATACCTTCTCAAGGTCTCGGAGATGGTCTTCTTCTTTCTTGGATTTCACCACTAGATCATCAACATAATCTTCCACCTCATGATGGATCATGTCATGAAAGATTGCAGTCATAGCCCTTTGGTAAGTTGCACCGGCATTCTTGAGTTCGAAAGGCATGACTGTATCTGATTGTATCCACTGAATCCATCCATGAATGAGAACATCTGGTGTCCCGATGTGGCATCCACAAGGGTGTCGATGTGAGGAAGTGGGAATTTATCTTTCGGGCAAGATTTGTTCAAATCTCGAAAGTCTACACATACTCTGATTTGGCCATTCTTCTTCTTTACTGGCACGATGTTTGCTAACCACGTGGGGTACTGTATTGGCCGGATGAAACCAGCCTGTTGAAGTTTTGCAATCTCCTCCTTAATCTTCTCTTCGAGATCTGGATGATATTTTCGAACAGCTTGCTTAATTGGCTTGGAGTTTGAGAACACATCAAGATAATGAGAGACTAGGTCAGGATCTAGTCCGGGCATTTCCTTATATGACCAAGCAAACACATCTGAGTATCGGCTTATCAACTTTAACAACTGTTCCCGCTTTTTTGGGCTAAGGCTCGAACTTACAAATACCGGCCTCGGTGCATCTTGTCCATCACTCAAATCTATTTCAATAAGTTGTTCAGGCTGAGGTTTCGGCCAATCTTGCATGCATTCTGGAGCCACTTCAGGCTTTATTTCTATATCATTGTCAGGAGGCTCTTCTTTTGACTCAGAGTCGGTGACTGAAGAAACCGACTCCCCGCACCTTCATAAATAGTACACCATCTTGCCTCCTTTTCGGACTTTCATCACCTTCCGAGGAATAGGCGGACTTTCTGGTCTAGACATCGCCCGCTTACTTGATTCTGCCATCGGTTCCTTGTCATCTTTGATATCCTCCCAACGAGGAATTTTGACCCTTCGAGGCTTAGAGGTGGTGGGAACTTCTTCGACAGCCAGTTCGGTGAAGTAGATGGCATCAGAATAATGAGCTTCATAGATCTCGAAAGGCCTTTCTGTAGCCTGAATTGTCACCGTCTTCTTTCCCCATTTAGCCTTAACACACTGATGATAACTTGATGGTACAGCCCCATATCTATGCATCCAGGTCCTCCCTAGAATGATGTGATAATTTGCCTCAGAATCGATAATATGGAACTTGGTGGCCGAGCAAATCTCTCCGACGGCTAAATCAACTGTTACGCATCCGATAGTAACTCTCCTTTCTCTACCGAAGCCAGTGATGACTATCGGCTGCTTCACAATGCGTTCTTCAGAGATTCTGGCCTTTTCTAGAGTACCGCGAGTCATAATGTTGATAGAGGCTCCACTATCTAGAAAGGCCCTTTTGAACTCAACCCCATTAATAAAAGCAGTTACATAAAGCGGGCGATTGTGAGAAAAAGGATACTTCCGATCAGCCTCGGAGAAAGTAATGGCACTAGATTGCTCTTTTGCCTTCCTCGGGATAGACCCCTCAATCGACATGCATTCCTCATGGTGTGCCTCGGCTATATTAATGATAGACTTGGTGATTTCCGTTCTTGCCTCCCTGGAAAGTCCAAGCTGGTCAAAGAACTGCTTGAACTTTACACAGTCTTGCAAGGTTTTGGCAAAGTGATCCGGATCTTTTTCCACTCTTGGAGGCTCGTAGTTAACCATCTCCTCGGTCTCTTCAAAATAAGATGCCACATAAACATGGTGTCCTCCTCTTCCATAGTACTCTTCTCCTCCTTCTGGATCAAAGGGATCTTCGCCATGAGTCATAAACCATGCATCATGCAAAATCATGCATTTGCATCTCAAAAAACAAACAAAAACAAAAAAACATGCATTGTCATGCATCATCGTAAATAGTTGCATTGCCATGCATCATTGGAACATAGTGCACATTGCACTTTAGATCGCATGCATTCATTGCATCACCTCCCATCTATGGCTCCCCCCTTCTATGATTGAGCTTGGTCTGGTATGTGCCCATAC